CCCCAAAACCCCAAAACCCCAAAACCCCAAAACCCCTAGGTGGAAGACTCTAATTGAACATCTTTAATAGTAACTTATTCTTCAATGTAAAATTTATTAAAGTTAGCATTGAATGTGTGCTCTGATGTGGGAAGGTACTTCTTGACATCTTTACCAAGAATTTCATCTTGGAGCAAGTCGTAGCTTCTGGTTACTGGGACTGACTGTACTTTCCAAATTTTACTGAAGCTTTGACTATCGTAGAATATCGATCCTTTCATTTTAGATTTTGCTAACTGTTCTTCACTTAGAACTCTAGACTTAGTTATCAGAGCAAGGGCAAAGCTTAACTCAGTGAAAGAGTCTTCAATGAGCTGTTTTGATTCTATAAGTCTGTGGATTGCTTGCACACATTTTTCTTTAACAGCAGCTTCTTTCCTGATGAACACATTCTTGATAAAATTGAATTGTCTTTTGGATGGTTTAAATGAAGCGATGAACAGGTCAACTTCATTTAAGTTGTGGTCCTTCTTGAACTCGCTCTCTTTGAACTTGGTACAGTTGTTGAATTTCTTTATGATGTCGTAGTCTCTATCATAGTCGACAGTGAGGTCTCTGTAATGGATGGGAGTGACGTTCGCATGAATATCATTAATGAGCTTCCTGAATGCAACATCGATGAAGGCTTTGTGTTTGTCAAAAATTATTTTGAAGAATTTATCATAGAGGTCTCAAAACTTCGTAGGAGTTTTATTTAGGGTTAAGAGACTCTAAGTCCAGAACTTGTTTCCAAAGATCATGTGCACCATTGTCTCTATCTCGTTCAAAAATATGCCCTTCTTGTACCCTTTCTTGCTCCTGAACTTTTCAAGCCAGCAAGTTTTGTAATCGAATATTTTCTTTTTCAAGGTACTCTACTTTAAATTCAAGTTCTTTGACATACTCTTTATTTACGCTCTCTGGACATTTTTGAGCGTTCTTTTCCTTTTAAACGTTTCTGTTTAATACTTTTATAACGTATCGGCTCCTCCTGATTATCCCTTACCTCTCCAGGTATTGGTGGATATTTAATGCTGACTACTCGGGGGAGATCTATAACTAATCACCTCATCCTCACATCCAAACGTACCTAATCCTATTGACCGAATTGAGGACTCTTGGTAAGGTTCTCTGAACGGGTTGGACTCTGCTTCAAACACTTCTTTTGAATTCTTGTCTTCCATATTACCCTTCCTGGGCTCTGTATAATATAATATTCAAGAGATCCTATTAATCTTGGGGTTTTGGGGTTTTGGGGTTTTGGGGTTTTGGGGTTTTGGG